AAAAAAAAAAGGAGAAAGAAATTCAAGGTGGAGCGTCAATAGCCGCGGGTGAGGAGGGAAAAAGAGCCTCGTGACGACACTGCCGGAAGCGATGGTTCGGAGAGAATTGTTTTTTTGGCACTGTTTCGCCTAGGCAGCCAGCAGGCGAGCGGAAATCCCAGCTCAGTTTCTCCCTCTCTTTTTTTTCGGCAAAAAACAGGGGTCCAACACCAAAAGCGCTCGGATTTGACGGTGGCCGTCTGGACACACAGGCCGATGCAGGGACGAGCGGAGGCCTTGGATCCACGAGCCGATCCCTTCAGCCTGGCCGACGGCCGCCAAGCGAGATCCCATATGACGGTGCAGGCCCCTCCGAACTCAGATACGCCTGAACATAGTCTCTTCTCACGCAGCAGCGGGTTGTCATGGAGAGAGCCGTGCAGTGGGGGAAAAGAGAGCGAGCAAACGGGCCGAGATGGAGCGCGGAGAGCGGAGAGCGGCTGACGCATTTCGGCTTCGAACCGATGGAGGGCGGTGATGGAAGTGCACATTCCGCACCAATCTGCGGTTGTACACGGTCGGCTATCCCGTCCCTGCTGCTGCTCCCTTGTCTCGGCGGCAACACCGACGTTGGCAGTTGCTGAGTTCTCGAGAGAGACACAGGGAGCAGAGCAAAACCGTATCGTCGCGGTTGCTGGTACTTATCAGCCCGCCTCCCTTGGCTTGCCTTGTCTCCCCATACTCACCTCCTCCGCCCTTCATCCATCGGATCACTTCCGACGACCACCACCATCAGTCACTGGGTTCCCCATCGCATTGCATTTCTCCACCGCCCCACGCATCGTCATCCCACTTGCATTCGCCTCAATCACACCCCCAACATCGCCATCCGCATAGCACAGCGTCTCACAACAATGTCGCGTCCGCTGCAGACGAGCAGCCGCAGCTCCTCGTCCTCCTCCTTGGATGCACTTCACACGCCCGACTTTGGCCGCAACGGCTCGCACCTCTCGTCGTCGGCCACGTCGGTGCTCGATGAACCCATCGGCCATGCCGCCGACCTCGCTCCCAAGCTCCAGTCGGCGCTATCCACCAGTCTCTCCGAATCGCTCGAGCGCATGATCCGAAACGAGGGCGCAGGCAGCTGGCCACCCAACCCAACCTACCGCGACTCGTGGCCCAAGTGCCTTCACACCTACGACGCCGTCGCCATGCAGGCACCGCCCCGATTCGTCACGCCCGAACTGCGCCCCACCTACACCGATGCCCAGCTGAGGCAACGCATCGACGACAACCGCCTCTGGCTCCAGCAGTCGTTGGCCACCATCGACGTCGTCCAGGTCATGGCGGCGCTGCCCACACTCGACGCCAACGCTCGCCTCGGCTTTCTGGCGTGTATGGCGTATCTGACCCACCTCTATCGTTGGGGCACGCTGCCCGTCGTCGCCATGGCCCAGGATGACAAGTCGCTGCGCTTGCCCGACTCGATCGCCAAGCCCTTCCACTGGCTCAACGCCTACTTTGGCATCGAGTCCAGCGGCGGCTGCCTCTACTCGATGACGCTCGTCAACGTCATCCGCAACCACGATGGCCAGCTCGCAATGGCCTACTCCAACATGCGACACATGGCGCAAAAGTCGGTCGTCGATGCAGAGAGGTACAACGCCTTTGTCTTTTACGAGATGGAGACGCTCGCACTCGAGCTCTACCGCTCCATCGCACAGTGCCAGACGCTCATGGCGCACGGTCGCGACGACGAGGCCGCCGAGGCGCTGCGACGAGGCCACGTCGCGCTCAAGGCCGCCTTCCGCCACTTTTTCGACACGCTCAAGGAGGAAAAGATCCAGAAGGACGTCTGGATGTCGCATGCACAGGGCTTCCACGGCTGGGGCGTCGACGACTTTGACGGCGTCTCGGGCGACCACTCACTGCTCATCCGCACGCTCGATGCGCTGCTCGACATTCCGCTGCGCACCAGTCCTGGCTGCCCCTTTGCCACGGCACAGGTGCCCGTCAAGCCGTGGGATGCCGTGTGCCCCGTGAGCGGCGCCAAGGCAGGGGTTGACGCGGATGCGGAGGTGCGGGCGACAGGTCTGCTCAGTCGGCTGTACAACTGGATGTGGCCTTCCAGCTCGGCATCGGCCACCAAGGGAACCAAGCTGGCGACGGTGCCGTGCGTGGGGGCCAAGGCGATGAAGCAGATCCAGTTTAGCGAGGTGCCGTATTCGAACGAGTATCTGCCGCGCGGACAGGTCGAGTGGATCCAGGCCGTGCGCAGCGCACGGTTGCGAGCACTGGCATCGGCCAAGGCTGACTCGGCCGTCGCGCGCGAGCTCGCAGAGATGCTCAAGACGTTCAAGCTGTGGCGCATGGGTCATACGCGCAAGGCGGTGTACTACGAGGATCTGCATTTGCCCGAGCGCAAGCCCATGACGGCGTCCGGGGGTGTAGGTGGTGGTGTGGCGGGCGAGGAGGAGGGTCTGCCACAGATGATGGAGAAGCTAGAGGCGAGGTTGCGCGCGAGGATTGCCGCGACCAAGTAAGGGAGTGGGTGCCCGAGAGGGCCGAGAGGGATGTACTAGTATCATGAGAACAATGCGTATACATTTGCAGTACCGAATCGCTGCCGGGGGTCGATTTGAATGTCGACGACTTTGGCCAGTGTTGAGGGTGGACAGCTAACAATCCGCCTTTCGATCAATGCCGCCACTTCCAAAGTCACAGCCACAAAGTGATGCGGATGGTGTGGATCGAGTCGAGACATGCACGTCATCTGCAGTGGTCACCTGGTGGATGGCCGGCATTGGGTTGTAGTGTGACCCCATGCATGTTGCATGTCAAATTGTCACCTAGAAAGTGTCAGCAGTTCTCATTCTCTTGTGGCAGAGCTTTGGTTTAGGGTACCGCCTCGGAGCTGCGATCAAGTAGTCGACGCTTGTAACTGGTGGTGCGGTTGTGATTCAACGATGGACTTGAACCATGCATGCTGCTGTACAGGCTGACGAGTGTTGACCAACATTGCTCTGAACAAAGCGGGGTCCCTTTGCAGCCGCAACCCTCTACACCGCAGCAAAGACGGTCGAGTCGAAACTGAAGCATGCATTCTGCGTTCGTTGCCGCACTTGGCTCCTACAGCCAACACACTCGCAGTTGCATTACACCATCCACAAGACATTGCAAGCCTCGCTGCCTCCGAGATCGACTGCAGCCGCACCAACAGTACATGTCGCGGCCTGCGTCCCGGAGAGCTCTTGCGCTACGACCACTGCACCGACGAGCGACCCTCGGAGGAGCACTCGTCTCCCTTGCTCTGGTCCGACGTAAAGTTCATCTACTGCGGCAGGTACGTTTGCGCCAGCACCCAATGTACCGGCGAGGCCGATCATGGTGCCGGCCCTTCCACTCCTTGAAACGGCCTTTCCACAGAGCCGCACTTCCGACTAGAGATCGAGTGCAAGTTCGGCAAGCGCCGGACGCCGGGCGAGATCATCCCCTACGTCGATCACCTCGCAGAAGGCCGAGATGTCGCATCACTGTCCGGTCCGTTGCGCCTTGTGGCCATGTCGAGTCGAGACGCTGGCACCTGCCTCCAGCAGATCGCCAGGCTGCTCGGCTGAGACTCTCTGGTCCCGTACGACTTTGGCCGAACCTTTGCAACCTTGGGGAAAAGCAGCGTCTCCGAGGAGCTCCGGCTGTTGATGGGCCACCGACACGCCATCTCGCGTGTCGTCGAGACGGTGTATCTTTCCGACCATGTGCCTATCGACAGGCTGCACTCCGAGCAAGCTCGTGAGGCAGCAGGTCGCTCCCTCGGCATTGCAGCACCAGCAGCTTCGACCACTGTCCTGGCCAACCCCCGCGTCGCCAAGGTGCTTCAGGTGTCGCGCAAGCTGCGAAAAGCCATCATGCTTGATCGGCTGCTTGCGTGCAAGGTGCCGCGCCTCGCAGTCGAGCCGATCAACGACGACGGATGGGCGGAGCACCTGTCCAACGAGCAGGTCAGCCTCGTCGAGCGCCTGCAGGAGGCCGAGATCGACTTTCTCTCTGCCTTCGGCTGGGCCACGGGACAACTCACCAGTCCTACGCACGCCACCGCCGCATCGTCGCATATGCAATCACAGCGACAAAGTGCCAGCATCGACGAGTCTACCGTACATGCTTCACCAGACTGTACCTGTCGAGGGCAGCTTCGGCATAGTCATTCAAGACGTCGTTGCGGAACTTGCTCAACCACGCCTTCTCACTGGACCGTGTACTGTAGAGTCTCGCACGTGGGAAGTACGAGTGCGTCGCACATGTGACAAGCACGTCGTAGAGTGTTGACCATGCAGCCTTTTGTGCCGCATCGGTTGTACTGACTCGGAGCTGCGCTTCGGTAATGAGCGTATAGCACAATGGGCAACTTTCCAAGCCCTTGCCAGCGGGACCACGCGCACCATGACAGCCCGGCCGGCTTCTCAGCCACCTTGTACGGCGTCGTCGAGCATTTCTGTAGCCCGCACGTCTCCGCCGGCCAGAACAGACTTGCAGTACACCCGCCGCTTGTCTGCCGCCTGCCTCAGTCGGCCTGCCGAGCACTCGTATCGATGGCCGATGCACGCTGTTTGTGGTACCCCAGCTTCGAATCGAACGAAGCCAGAGTGGCACACACGTGAAGCAGGCGCCCATCTGGTTGGACTACGGTGCAAGTTCGGTTTGGGTGGTGCCGTGGTGCCGCGCACGTGTAGCGGCGGTATCAAAGCGGCGTCACGTTCTGTCCGCCGCGGCCGGATTTTTTTTTTTTTTTTTTTTTTT